CGAGCCGAGCCGAGCCGAGCCGGCGGGGTGGGGGGCTCCGCTCCCGGCTGCAGGCTGATACCGGAGCCTGGGCTGAGAGCCAAGCTCGCCCCCTGCCCCAGCTCCGGGGGAGGCTTTGCTGCGGCTCTCCCAGTCCCGGCCACCGCACGGTGTGTGTGTGTGGGGGGGTTGCTTGAAGCAGGGCAGGACCCGGTGGGGCCGAGGGCTGAACAGACTCGGCCGGGCGGTGCGGGGGCTGCTGGAGGGAAGCTGGGGAAGGGGTGGCACGGCCTCAACCCCCCAGGGCTGCCTGCCTTGCGGAGGAGGCAGAGGGGCGTAAGCTGCAGCAGGACCCCAGCCCCCCGGGGGAGGGGATCTGGGGCCAGCCCCGGGAGGCAGGAGCAGCCCCGGGGGTGCTGGGCGTGTGCAGGGCAGAGCCCTGGGAGAGCCCCAGCCCCGCGGCAGGCAGCGCTGCAGAGGAGGAGCTCGCGCTCCCTGGCGGGCGAGGGGAGCCCCACGCAGGGGGAGCCGGGCCGCCCGCACCTGCCTCTCGCAGCCGCTCCATGCTGCTGCTCCCAGTATCGCTTTCAGCCGGCGCGGCTGCCCTGTCAGCGCTTTTGGATCTTTAAATAGCCGTCCGGGGGGAAATCCCGGACATTTTTAGCTTTTTACAAATTACCCCCGGACAGCTATTTAAAGACCCAAAAGCCGGACATGTCCGGGGAAACCCGGACGAATGGTAACCCTATTATAATATACATTGCACATGTTTTGGGGAAAATGCATTTTTTATCATTTAATTTTTAGAACATTAGGCATATTAATTTTTATATAAGGTGTAACTGGTTTTTTTTGTGTTTACAGAAATTTTATGTACCTTTAGCAAAGTGACAGTTTGATTACACAGAGCTATTTTAAGGCTTAGTGTGGGGCACTGGGTTTTTTTGTTGTTGTTTTTGTTTACTACAGCTTTTATTTGCCATTTTGTTACCAAAAAAAAAAAATTAGAATTTTTTTTGGCTTTGACTGCCCTGCTGCAGCCATGATTTTTGTTTTTATTTAAAAACGTTTTAAATGTTCAGAGGGGTAGCCATGTTAGTCTGGATCTGTAAAAAGATACGTCTGTTAGTCTATAAGGTGCCACAGGACTCTTCGTCATTTTAAATTTTGTAAAGCATTAAGTTACCCCTTAAGGGTTAAATGTTAAATACTAAAGCCAAACAACACTTGAGTTATTTGTGTTTGGCCAAAACCATTTTTTGGTTTTGCAACTTTGAGTGAAAGATATAAATGGATTTTAGTGGTATTATTTAAAAACAAAACCAATGAATTTTATTTTTTTTAACACCCCTGACACTGCTTTAATTTTTATATAGCTGTACATAGATTACATGTATATACATTTGGGGGCAGTTAAGTTTTAATAGACACCCCTTAAGTTTTTTTTAGCAAATTTGACTAAATTGTTTATACATTAATGATTTAAATTAGGTTGGTTTTTTGCCTGGCTTATTTATAGAATTTTTTTTTGGAAAAGGACCCTTTTTTTTTAGAATGGGTGCAAAGAAACCAAAAAAAATTTTTTTGAACATTTTTACAATCTTTAATTGTTTAGGTTTTTTTTTAGCATTTATAGTTAACTTTTTTTATTTTTTTTTAAATAACTTACTTATTTTTTAACACGATACCTTTATTAACTTAGATTTTTCTATTTTAAGTAGTGTTTTGGGGATTTGAAATTTTGATGCCTGTATTTACTGCTATTTTTTACTTTTGCCACTATGCCCTTAGGGCTTTTAACCCACTTTTTATTTGTTGCCTGCCTGCTTGTTTGGGCCTGATTTTGCTTTATTTGCTGATTTTTTTTTTTTATGGGCACAGGCTTTGTTTTATTTCCAATTTAGCAAGGAGGGTGGGCTTTTTAACTAGCCCCCACCACTTTTGGTTGTTTTTTTTTAAACAATATTACTTACAAGGGTTACCCGAGTTATTTTTCGTGAGGCTTGCCACCTGGACAGAACGCACGGCCAACTGGCATTTTAATTGTTTAATTTTTTTTTATGGCAGACTCACTGCCGTTGCGGCGTATGCTGAGCATGAATGGTTAAATTTTTGAAGAATTTTTGAAGGACCCCGTACTTGCTTAGCCAGTGCTTTTAGGCGGTGCGTTTTGCTTTTTTTGCCTGGAAGTTTTGTTTTAAGACCCTGCAACTTGTTTTGGGCATGGGCTTGGGTTGCTGCCTGGTTAGTAATTTGCGCTTTTAATTGATTAATTTTTACTAGTTGTTGGGTGCACACTGATTTTTTTTTAACCTTTTTTTGTTTGTTTTGACAATATTTGATATCACACAGCTGCTGCAGTTTATATTAATTTTACAGCTGCCCCTAGGTTTTTACCCTTCTGCTTTTTATACTTGGCATACAGGCTTAATAAATTCTGCCAAGAATGCACACTTTTTTGAAGCTTTGTGACGGAAGCCCAGGGATTGTATTTTACCTTGGTGAGAGCCCTCTCCAGCCGGGATTGGTCCTCATTCCCCTGTAAAAGAGGCAACTGGGGTTTTGTTGCCCCTTTTGTAGCTCGGGCATTAGGACCACCAACCTTTTGTGACACCAGCAGGCCAGGCAGCGGGACTTTCGTGTTCGCACTGCCTATTGCCCGTGCATTCAGCCCTGACCCCACCATGAACGCCGCCGTTGTCCACGACTGCGGGACACCCGAGTCCGCAGTTGAACCCTTTTGTTTTTTAAACATGTTGTTACAACTTGTTGGTATTGCTTTTACAAATTTTTTAGTTACTTAAGATTTTATGCTGCCCAAGCGGGCACCGGAGCTTACAATGTTACCCCACTGGGCCAGAGGGAGGGACGCTAAGCCTTTCTTTGTTACCACCGAGGGTTTATACACCCCATGCAAAAACCCCTCCCAGGGGCAAAGCGAGAAACCCTACGGTTTTTTTTATGTGCAGTTATGCTACGGTTGAGGATATATGCACTGAGGATTTTACCGGCGTGGAGAGAGGATTGCTAAGCTTTTTTTTATTGCCATTGGGTTCTAACACTAGTGTGTTAAAAATAGAAGTGTAGACACAGCAGCGCAAGCAGTGGGAGGAGCTAGCTGCCCCACATACGTACTTAAAGTATTGATGGGATCATACTTGGGGCAACTAGCTCCTCTTACCATTCGTGCCACCATGGATGCACTTCTATTTTTAGTGCGCTAGCTCGATCAGAGCTAGCATGAGTATGTCTCCTTAAGTTGGAATTTACCCCTTCCAGCTCTAGTGTAGACATAACCTAATTAGGGGTGGGGGAGGAGGTCCGTGACTGCAGGAATTGTGTTCATTTCCCAGCTCCCTCTAAGAAGCAGGAAGATGAGCATGTGGGCTCCACACTTTGTCTCTCACTGTTTGACCTGGTGTCTGCACACTTCCTGAATGAACCTGCTCTCAGCAGACAGCTACACACTCCAACATTAAGTTAGCTCATTGCTCAAGCATGAACAATGCTGGGACAAGCCAAAAGTAGCTCGCTTCTCAGAACTAAACAAACATATTGAATAACTTTTATCCATAAATTTTTGAAGATTGACTCTGGTGCCAGACACTTGTATCTCTGGAATGCCCTTACCATGATCATATTTTGTGTCGCTCTACCCTACCATTGTCTATGGATCTCTGTGCGAAAGGCTCGATATAAAGATGGTAATTTTAAAAACAGGTAATTTTGGGTGGTCTTGTGTCTCAGGAGCCCCTTGGCCAAAGGACCCCAAATTTGTACCACAAACTGTAGCCCGGGCCTTATAGTGGCATAGCAGTTTTCAAGGCAATCTGGCGAAGACTGTCAGAATATCCCAGACAGACAAGGTGGATGAGGTAATATCTTTTATTGGACCAATTTCTATTGGTGAGAGAGACAAGCTTTTGAGTGTACACAGAGCTCTTCTTGTCTCTCTCACCAACAGAAGTGGGTCCAATAAAAGATATTACATCACCCACCTTGTCTCACTAATATTCTGGGACCAACATGGCTACAACAACACTGCATAGAATATTTCAGTGCATTTTGAAAGAGTGGCTTTAAACAGAAACCCTGCTGCAATCTCAATTATGAAGTTGCTACTGCTGCTTCCTAATACAATTAATTTTTACAAAAATCTTAAATTACTTTTTACTCTCCAGATAATTAACTACAATTTAAGAACAAATGAGAACTCAGGTTCTGTAAACGTACATAAGATAAAATAATAAGCCACAGAATAACTATCCACAGCTTCTTACCCCTCCTTGCTGTAGAACAGAGTGTAGTTGGTAGGAAGTCCTCCATCTGAGCCGGGCTTCCACCAGCAAGTAAAAGTTTCCTTTTCTGGAGAACGACACCTCAGTAGTTCAGGCTTTCCAGGGGGCTGCCCTGTAGAAATGCATAAATTATCTAGTTAATAAACGTAACTGTTATACAGTACAGTACACTGAATAATATCAATCCTGAATTTATAAATTATTGAGAGGTACCCAGGGCCGGCTCCAGCATTTCTGCCGCCCCAAGCAAAAAAAAAAAAAAAAAAGACCGTGATTGCGATCGGCAGCGGCAATTGGAAAAAAAAAAGCTGCGATCGGCGGCGGCAGTTCAGCGGCAGGTCCTTCGCTCCTAGACGGAGTGAGGGACCTGCCACCCCCGAATTGCCGCAGGTGCCGCCCCTCTCCCTTGGCTGCCCCAAGCACCTGCTTGTTAAGCTGGTGCCTGGAGCCGGCCCTGGAGGTACAGGACAGTCAGACTTAGGTATATTTACTGTACAAGAAAAAACATGTTTTCACTTCTACATCAGTAGAGAAGGAAGGAAGGTCCAGTGGTTAGCGCACTAGACTAGGCTAATCTGTGCTTCAGTTCCTTGTACGTAAAAATGGGGATAACAGCACTGCCCTCCCTCGCAGGGATGTTGTAAGGATAAATACATTAAAGTTTGTGAGGGGCTCAGATACTGTGGTAATGGGGAACATCTGAGTTCCTAAGGTACATACACTCTAGATATGTTTGTCTATCTTCAGATTATTCTATATAAACCACTTTAAAAAAGGACACTTTAGTTCTCTACTCATCATCCCAAAACTCTGTTAAGAAAAACAAAAAACAAATCAGCAAAAGAAGTCTAGCTGATTAAGCTGCATTTTCCTTCCAAGTGTTTGCCCATGTGTGTCTTCTCACCAGTGTTGTCCCTTCTCTCCTGCAGCCCCAAACCAGGCTGAGTTGCCTTTAAGGGATAAGAAAAAGGAAGAAAAAGGAAGCACTTATGTGTTCCTTGCTTAGTGACCTCATACATGGTACTTAGAGACCTAAGCTACTTGTCTGATCACAGCCACAGAAGATTTATTGTGACCTGTTTGGTGTCTCACTGATGTTATTAGAGACTCAAACAAAAAACTTACAGCAGGACAAAGGTTAACACATCAAGTAGCATGATGCTGATTGAAACACTGCAGTAAGTAACGCTGTTGTGATTGTGCACGTGAGGTGAATAATGGTCTCAAGCTATTGAGAATCTTTGTTTTTCAATTCTTGAGATTGGGACCTTTAATTTTCAATGCTCCAAAGTGCCTAAAAGTCAGTTCTGAAAATAGGACTTACTTAGGCTCCTTAGTCACGTGTGAAAATTTTAATCATTGCCAACACATTCCATGTCAAGACATGAAAAATATAATTAATAAAACAGCAGAGGTGACTAGCAGCAACAGCATGGCTAAGGAGTTTGGTAACAAGATCTGAGGTCTATCATATTTAGGCCACCAATTAAAACACACACCAGGTTGGTAAAAAATTGTTACCATATTATGGTGAATGCAGTTTCGTGCCCTGTCTGAAATGAGCTGATGATTTCAGTCCAGTTCCCAGTTAACAAATGTCCAAAGCCTGCCATCACAATGTCATTAAATAGCACCTGTAGTTGTCAGTCTCAACAATGAGGCCAAGGACTAATGGATCAGGAAAACTGAACAACCGTGTCATACCTGGATATTATCAGGGTTGCACTGCTGCTCTCTCTTGTACTGTACATTTCCTGTGTATAGAGGACATTAGTATTCAGGGCTGCTACATTGGAACATTTCACAAACACTGGAATCACCGAGATTTTAAAAGGAAATTAACAGAAAGATTGTCAGCCACTCACCATTGGGGATCTGAATGTAACTTTCTGAGCTCCATTCACTCCATTCTCCATGGTCTAGCATGCAGTGAACCTGTACAATGTATTTCAATCCAGGATGTAATTTAAACGCCTTATAATGTGCTTGCTGTCCAACAAAAATAGTCTGGAGAGGAATCAAAAATATAGAAACCATAAGGAACTGGGGCATTTTTCTATACAAATCATGAAGTGAAATCCTGGTTTCATTAAGTCAATGTGAGTTTTGCCATTGACTTCAGTGGGAGCGGGATTTCACCCACAGACTTTAAAGAATGGGCACTACAAAGAAGTAAGAGTGAAATCCTGACCCATGGAAGTCAATGGCAAATCTCCCTTCAATGAGACCAAGATTTCTTCAGGAGTCTAGAACATATGGCTTATTTTAGATTTCTGAGGACCAGTTTAGTTTTCACTCATTCCAATAATAACAACTCCACTTCAGATGTCAGAGCAAGAGAAATATAGCCCTGCTGCCCACTGAGCCAGCTTTTCACCAAATCTGACTCCATGATGTAAGGAACATATGAAGTGTGATTTTTTCCCTAGTATCTCTGAGATAGACACGTTCAAGATAGCCACTGCAAGGAAAATTTACTGTACTCTCAGTCTTGTAGTCAGTTTCTCTCTCTTGTATGTAGTTCTTAGGACAACAATGTACATATCTGGAATTCTTACTTTCTCTCCCTCCAAACCACAGAAATACTCTCCTCTTTTTAATGGTCATATTTGGATAGCCTTACTTGGTTACCCTGACCCTGGTCAGACACCACACTGTATATAATATCAAGATATAGAGTTCAGATATATGAACTAGAGAAAAGAGAACATTCACTATGAAAGTTTGCCATTTCCTTACCTCCCATTCTTCCCTTTCTTCAGACTTTAGGCGTAATTCATAATGAAGTATAAGCCAACCAGATCTGACATCAACCAATGGAGGTGGAGACCACTTTGCCCAAAGATACACTATCCCAGCTGATTGTATTACTTGCAGAGACAGGTTTATAGGAGGATCTGGCTGAACTGTACAAATGAAAGATCAAAAACTGAAATCACCAAAGAAGCCTCCTATTATCGTCTAGTATTTTAACTTAGTTGCTTCAGGAAGCATCAATTTACATTAAATAAGAAAAGCCAATCAAAAAGACAACAGGGGTTTGGAATAGTCCAGTAGCTCTCTGGCTTCCTTTCTCTCTTTTTGAGTATGTTTGAACTGGCTGTTGACTTGCCACAGTATTGCTCATGTTCCTCTTACACTTTCTGCTGAATCTGTCAGGCTACAGAAACGCAAACTTGCATAAAACTATAGATGTTTTCATAGAATGAAACCGTCTGGCCTGATAATAGACTGAGTATCTTTATATCAATATAATATGTACATTCGGTAACACACTGAAAGCAGGATGATGTTAGGAGTGTGGGTTGGAGCCCCTACCACTTTGAATGTAATATTTAAGGTATGAGTGTAAAATAAACTAAAGAGCAGGGCTCGCAATTCTCTAATATGGGTCTAATTCAAAATACTGTACTAGTAACACTTCCGACAGGGCTTAAGGAGCCACCAGGAACCTCTGTACCTAGAAAAGTAAGGTCTGTCCCTCACTAATATGTTTCAGAAGAAGGTGCCTAGGGTTACCTCATGGCAGCAGTGGGCAATAATTCCTGTGTTGTGAAAGAGACATTGATCTTTGAGACTTTGAGCCAGGACATGTGACTGGGACTAAAAAAAAAAAATTCAGCCCTCTTGCAAATCATCCCTTTAATACAGTAACTAACAGAAACATTTACCCCACAGAGACATAGTACTAGTTATGAAACACAAGTCAGGAAGAACCTGATTTAGCTTTCAAAATCCTGACTGAGTTTTCAGGGCTAGCAGCTAGAAAAATATCTTTACATTTGTAAATGGAGCAAAATTTGATCGGAAGACACTGAGATAAAATAACCTAATTTAGAATCTGAATTGTTATGGAATTGCATTAACTGTCAGCAAACCATTGGGAAAACATGAGCTAATTTTGATTAAACCTGGTGCCAATTTATCAGTCAAAATTAATAAGGTTTATTTATTTATAAATAATACACACATCATACGGTTTTCAGACACATACATATTTAAAATGAATGCACATGATCTGCTGATCAATGCCATTCTTACAAGGCTCCCTCACCATCAAATTAAGACGTTTCACAATCAGCAGTTTCAGGCTAAAGTTTCAGAAACAAGATGGCATAGTTCGGAACTTTAAGTGTTAAGTACTACATTTAAGAAGGAAAAATCAAATGCAGAAAATGGGGAATAACTAGCTAAGCAGCTGTACTTCAGAAAAGGATCTGGGGGTTATAGTGGATTGCACGCTGAATATGAGCCAACAGTGTGATGCAGTTGCGAAAAAGACAAATCACATTTTCAGGTGTGTATTAACAGAAGTGTCATATGTAAGTCATGGGAGGAAATTGTGCCATTCTACTCAGTGCTGGTGGGGCTTCAGCTGGAGTACTGTGTCCAATTTTGGGCACCACACTTTAAGAAGGCTATGAACACACTGGAGAGAGTCCAGAGAAGAGCAACAAAATTGATAAGAGCTTTAGAAAACATGTCCTATGAGGAAAAGTTGAAAGCAATGGGCACTTTAGTCTAGTGACAAGAAGGTTTAAGTGGGACATGATAGCAATCTTCAAATATGTAAAAGATTGTGATAAAGAAGACGGCTCTCTGTGTCCACCGAGGGTAGGACAAGAAGTAATTGGCTTAGTCTGACGCAAGGGAAATTTAAGATGGATATTAGGAAAAAAACTTTCTAAGGATCGTTGAGAACTTGAACAGATTACCAAGGAGGTTGTGGAATCCCCATTTTTGGAGGTTTTTAAGAACAGGCTAGATAAACATCTGTCAGGGGTGGTCTATGTATACTTGGCATTGCCTCAGCACAGAAAGATGGATTAGATGACCTCTCAAGATCCCTTCCAACCCTACCTTTCTATGATTTCTCTGATTCTATGATTCCCAGCTCCTGCCTATCTCCACTTTATTTTCTGTTTTTCCCCCCTCTTACCTATGGAAGTCACGTCCACATAATGAGGGTTAGAGATGTTACTTCCCACCTCATTAGTTGCCTTTACAGAAATGTTATAAGATGTCCAGAGATTGGTGTGCTTTTTGTCAAAGTAACAGGAATTGGGACCTGCAGTTCTGTAATCTGGACACTCATAAATTTGTTCTTTTCTGAAATTAAAAAATGAAAAATGATCAGTCATCAGGAAATTAAGTAAAGCATCTGATTTACTAAGAGTGGCCACAGTTCAGCAAAACATTTTAACAGACACTTAACTTTAAGCACGTATGCACTCCTGTTACAGCACAGCACTTAAGTACATGCTCAAGTCCCATTAATTTAACTGCTTTGCTGAACTGGGGCTATCTTTACTAGAACTACACAGGGCTAGAACTTGTCCTCTGTTCTTTTAGAACTAGTAATTATACAGGTCATAACTAATTGTATGCTATTAAAATGGAGGAGGTGATGGTTTGCCTGACATGGAGCCATAAAACAGAATATTATAGAGAACACCAAAACACTTCTAAAATGTTTAAGAACAAGAAGTTAGAGGCAAATCAAAGACAGTCACTTGGTTTGAAGCAGAGGTGAAAGTAAGCCGGTTCGGTCTGGCGTACCAGCAAGAACCAGTACGCCGTGCCAGACCGGACTGGCTTCCCCAGGCTCGCGATTTAAAGGGCCCCGGGCTCTCTGAAGTGGCCGGATCCCAGGGCCCTTTAAATTGCCTCCCAAGTCCCACTGCTGGAGCCCCGGGGTAGCGACGGCAGGGCTCCATTGGCAATTTAAAGAGCCCGGAGCTCTGCTGCAGTAGCGGCGGCCAGAACCCTGGGTCCTTTAAATCACCCCTGAGCCCCAGGGCTCCCAGCCGCCTCTGCATCTGGTAGCTCGGGGGGTGATTTAGAGGCCCCGGGGCTCTTAGCCGCAGCCAGAGCCCCAGGGCCTTTAAACCTTGATTTAAAGGCCCTGCCTCTTCTGATTGAGGCCACGCCCCTTCCGGTTGAGGCCACACCCCTGCTCAGGACTCCAACATACCAGTAAATCCTTTAACTTACTATCACCCCTGGTTTGAAGACAGCATGTTGTCAAATATTTTCTTTAAATATTTCCACCTGAAAGTCTCATTACTTAGCATTATGATAGAGGAGAATTTTTTATTACTTTAATCAGGTCAGTTCTGCCTGCAGACAAGAAGATGCCTTGTCTAATTTTTAATGTTATAATCTCATTAAAATAAAAATGTATCAGTTCATTATACCTAACTCTCCTATTTCTTATAGGTGCTTTTGGCAATAGCATTATTTTGCATTCATTTAGTGCTAGATTGTGTGACTGACACACAGCCTGGTACAAGAGGCCATAGAAAGCTGCACCAATGCCTAGAGGAACACTGGTTGAGATGATGACCCAGGAGGCAAATCTCTCCCATAGCTGTGCCATGGGGCATATTGGTTCCCCTGTTGTGCTGCCTTGCTCCATGGACCAATGATGGGAAGGAGCAGGGCTATGGCCCTGTAACCTCCCCACCCCTATCCAGTTGGGAACCAGTTCCTGCTGCTCACAGGGAAGGATTGAGATCTGCCCTCACTGCAGTAGCTGGGGAGGGTTCTTGTGTTCCCCATGGTCTTACATAAGCACAGATCAGTGTTGGGCCCTTAGTCAGTATATAATCAAAAGTGTCTTAGAGATGTGTGTAAAAGCAAAAAAGAGCATGACCTTCATTCCATATTATAAGAGTGAATTTTAGTGCTTGTGAAAGTGGTGCAGGATTGAGAGCCCCAGAGAATGAAGCCCACTTTTTATGTACAGATCAGGTACAACACGGGGAACAGCAGTGAAAGCAATTACTCTCACTACTCTGTCAAACTGCCTCCATGGTCTCTCTGCAAAGACTACCAATATGTCTACCATTCAATGACAACTGAGATGGTGGTTTCTGTGACACAGTCACTTGCCCATTACTATTATTACTGGTCAATCTCATTCCCGCACCTGTACAAGTAATTTAGGATCTTCACACAAGTATGTCCAAAGAAAGAACCCTTAAATGGAGACCTGACAGACAGCATGAATATACTGAGCCACTGAAGCGAAATGTAAATGACAGAAATGTGAATTTAGAACACATTCTCTTTATGTAAACTAACTTCAGATTCTGTCTTTATTAATCAGAAAAGATTCTGCTTTCAGTGAAATTACCAACATCAGTAGTGACTTGGGAGTGACTACAGCTCCTCTTGCACATAGGGAACATGCATTTGCACATCTCGTGCTTTTATTTTCACAAGCACAGATGTCTAATTCATGCTTAAAATAAACCTCACTTTTACATAGTTCTTAAATAATATCTGTTACAACCTGGACCAGTTCTGCTTTTGGAATGGACAACACTGTCTGCGTGACCAGATCCAACCCATTGAATCCCATGTGGTGCTAAGTTCTCTGGGTAGTGACTGGACACTGTTCCTAACTCTGGGTCTCAGGTGCATTCCCTGATGCAGACCCCATGTCTGACACCCTTCTTGGACAGTAGGACCCTGCAGTCCAGATGCCTAGAACCTGGAACTGGTGCCTGAGCCCCCCGAGTTATTTAGACATGTTCCCCTCAGAGACCACCTGGCTGTGGGAGCTCTGGTTTCAAGTTCGCCCTCTCAGGGACAATGTCAGTGCTTATTTTGTGCCAGGGCTTGCCACATCAGTTATGAAAGTACAAAAAATTCCTTGAGCCCTGGCACCTAGTTGCTTGAGCCTCAGCACCTCTTTCATTGCAAATTAAGCACTGGACAATGTGGCAGTAAAGCAAAGGAATTCTTAAACATGCACACACAGATCTATGGAAAATGAGTCCCTGGGTTTGGTACAAGTCCTTTAGAGAAGGCACTCCCACTGGCTGTGTCTTCTGTTCCTGGCAGTGAAATTACTCCCTTTGCTTAGAGAAACACCCTTTTGAAAAACAAATTCTGTCTCTCTTTGGTCAGGTGGACTAACTACAACTCTCCCAGCCATGTGCGTAGACCAGGGGAATGTCAGCACTCTCCCCACAGACAGATTTATGTGTAGAGAGTTCATTCAAAGTCAATGACACAGCTGAAGCAACCTCATTGTTTCTCCAGGGTAGAGCTATTTAATGTTGATGGGTTTGTAACAGCTTTCCAAATACAGGTTCCCCACTAATTGTCAATTTCCAGCTACCAAAAGGAACACTCAAAGCCATACTAAAGATTACATTCAAAACAGAGTTTGAAATACAAGTATTCATAAAACAAAAACGAAATCCACAAATCGACATGGACATATTCCTCTTGTAGTGAGGCGGCCTGGCTCCCAGCTGCCCCAGAGAGGGACAAGCCCCTCTGGTTGCCAAAGTGGGCGGAGCCACTGGAGCCTGCGCCCGCCCACCAAAGGTCAAAGCGCAGAACCAGAAGTATAAAAGCCGCATCCCAGGGCTCAGAAGCTGCCTGGCTGCCGGAGAAACCAGACGCTGGGGGCCTAGCTCCTGCTGGGGAGACTCCTGCAGCCTGTGACCGACCCGAGGACTGGCCATACCAGTCAAGGCCTGATGGCGACCAGACCCCAGAGAAGCTGTTAACCGTACTGGAGAGAAGCGACCCAGAGGAGCTGCCAAGCCTACCGCTTGCTGAGTACCCTGAGGAGCCCATGGTCCTTGATTCCCTGGAGGACACCGACCAGATGCAGGTACTGCAAGAGGGGGAGGTAGGAAGTAGCCTGGGGGCAGCTGACCCTAGTCTGGCTGCGGCACACCCAGAGCCAATGTCAGTGTGTTGCGGCCAGGATCCCCACTGACACAGCAGCAGGCAGCCTGTTAGGGCCCCGGGCTGGGACACAGTGGAGTGGGCGGGCCTGTGTCCCTCCTGCCACCCCACTTACGGGTGGCAGTCTCCTCCTTGCCCCAGATGCTCAGAACCAAGAGTCTGGGTTTTTGATTCCTGAACTAGTTGCTCAGCCCCTGCCTGAGGGCCTGAGCTCCAGATTGTGTGTTGCCCCGCCCTGAGCCAGGGCCTGGGCTTATTCCTGAACTAGTTGCTCAGTCCCTGCCTGGGGCCTGAGCTCCAGATTGTGTATTGCCCCGCCATGACCCAGGGCCTGGGGCCTGATATTGAACTACTTGCTCAGCCCCTGCCTGGGGCCTGAGCTCTAGACTGCTTGTTTACCGCCTCGCCCTGACCCAGGGCCCGGGCTTGTTCTGGAACTATTTGCTCAGCCCCTGCCTGAGGGCCTGAGCCCTTGACTACTTCCTGTCTCACCGGGCTAGTTCCCTGACTCAGCAGACCTCAGCAGTGAGGTGGCTTGGCTCCCAGACGCCCCAGAGAGAGGCGACCCTAACAAAACCCCTCTACGCCCCTATTCTGTCACAACACCTTCGTCATCTGATAATTACCTGCAATTTAAAGACAGTTTAAAGAGAGTTTGAGGTTTGTAAATATATATGAAGCAAAGTAATAATCTACAGAATAATTATCCACAGCTTCTCACCCTTCCTTGTTGTAGAGCAGAGTGTAGTTGGTAGGAAGTCCTCCATCTGAGCCAGGCTTCCACCAGCAAGTAAAGGTTTCCATTTCTGGAGAACGACACTTCAAGACCTCAGGCTTTCCAGGAGGTGATTGCTCTGTGGAAGTGCAGAAATCAACCTAGTTAAAAAGCTTTACAAATATCATACATTACACATTTAGGTAGTACTGAAGGTGAGGTGTAAGGAGATGATAGATTCCATGGGTTGGATACAGTACACTGTGTAAAGGCAAACTTGAATGAGTGAATTACTATTACGTAGAATCCAATAGTATTTAAAAACATGTCTTATTAAAATAAAGAACACATTGGTCAATAATCTCTAAGAAAAAAGTGTATTCAAATTTGCATACATGTGCCTTCTCCTTCTAAGCTTATTTATTACTTTAGTAAAGTTCCAGGCCACTTTTTCATTAACGTTGCTATTCACATTTTCATGGTGACAAGTCCTAAGAAGAATGGAGGGGAAGGGACAGGTGTCTGTCAATACTATCTCTAAGGGTATGTCTACTCAGCAACTAGACTCCCTGGGCTCTAGGACTCTGCAAGGTGGGAGGGTCCCAGAGCTTGGGCTCCACCCCGAGCCTGGAAGTCTACACAGCAATGTGAAAGAGCTGCACAGCCCGAGCCCCATGAGCCCAAAGCAGCTGGCGTGGGCCAACCACAGGTTTTTCTTTGCTGTGTAGACATCCCTAAGTTATCACTTACTGACCCTAAAACTTTCACAAGAGTAAATCAAGCCATTTTCAAAATCTCTGTACAGGAGTTCTTAAGAGAATTGGTCATTTGAAATTGTATAGGTTTCAATGAGGATCAGGATAGCCAGGATTTATCTTCAGAATTTTCTAAACAAACTGCTTTTGGGAAAATAATGTGCTGTATAGTTTTCTACTTACCATTCAAACACTCTATGTTCAGAAAAAGCAGCAAAATAAATCTAACTGATGATGCCAAGTTTTGCTTCATGTTGTTTACCTACTCCTCCTCCAGCGGGGAAAGTAGGATCAGAGGATAGCTGAAAAATATGACAATGTGCAACATTTAATAATAGTATTTGGCATGTGTGTGTATATCATTATGTGTTCAAAGCACTATGCAAACTTGAACTAATTAATCATCAAAACACCTCTGTAATCCAATAAGAGTTATAGTCCCTAATTTTCCAGATAGGGAAGATGAATCACAGAAAGACTAAGTATCCTACTCAAGGTCATTCAGCCAATCGTTAGCAGCACCACAATTAGAATTCACAGCATGGTCTATTCTTGTGATTTGATCATGTGTCTATGATATTTGGTGCCTTTTTAAAGCTCCAGCTCTCAGATTCATGCAATTACATGTGAATCTCCACTTCACTTGAAAAGTAATTAAATTGTGGTTGCAGAGAACAGCTTGAGAACATGACCCAACTGAACCCTAAAGGCTCAAAAACTGGAAGGCAAATAAAAAAAACCCATCATTATTTTTTTTTTTAAACTCGCATGACTTTTGAGCCAATCTCATGATTCTGAGGGGACTAACTCATGATTATTGAGCTGCTGGGTTTGGCAATACTGAATTCAGTTGTCCCTCAGTTGCCATCCACCAAATGATGCTGCCATGTCAGTGCATGTAACTCACTCTTTCTGTTGCACTCAATTTTGCATGTAAATGACAAATCAAGACTGTGATGTTTCACTCCATATTCTTTATGAAAATATGCTTATGATATGAATGACATAACTGAGATGTACTTTACGCAAGATGGGTCCTGTAAGATATCATTGGAAAGGTTATAATTTACTGAATGTGATTATCCAATTTGTATGCCTGTATCTTTTCTGTATCTGAAGTTAGGAATATTGACTATGTATCTGTATTTCAACTATGCTACCACTGCTAACACTTCAGGTACAACAATGGAAAAGCCAGACAGGACTGATGACCCATCAGCAAGGACAAGGGACTGTGAAAAGGCTTGGCCTTCCTGCGGACCCGCCATACTGCCACTAACTCATGGACACTGTGATACTACAGAGTCAGGTGGTCTTGGCACCTGATACTGAACATTACCTGGGATTTTTTGTAACTTTCCACTGAAACGGAAGTGGGGGGTCAAGTTTGGGAAACAAAGGATTCCCACCTTATGTAAATCCTATTTAAGGGTGGGGAGGAAGGCAAATGGGACTCCTCTTCTCCATGGCCTGTCCGCCCAAGAAGAAAGACTGCTAAAGCCATCTGAAGGGAAGGTAAGGGTGGGGGGGAGTCCAGACTGAGACAGGGGTCCAGTCTGAAAAGGAAAATAACTGGAACTCTGAACCACAGAAACTTTGCAATCTGCCTAAAATAACATTTAGGGTGAGAATTTACATTTTGTAACCTGTTTCTTAAGTATATCGAGCTTAGCTTGCGTATTTTGCTTTATTTGGTCAGTAACCTGCTTTGTTCTGTCAGTTATCTCTTATATTCACTTAAAATTCACCTTTTGTAGTTAATAAACTTATTGCTTGTTTATAATATAACCCAGTTTATGTAATTTCTAACTGGGGGGGAGAGGCAAGAAGTTGTGCAGATCTCCCTCCACATTGAGGGAGGGGGAGAATTTCATAAAAACTTTGGGTTTGTCCCCCTTAAAGGAAGTGGGCACCAGAGTGTTGGGGAGAGCCCCTAAGGTTGAATCTTTCCAGAGCAGATCTCTGTCTCTCTGTGCAGCTGGATGTGGCCCTGCCTGTGTGCTTGGCTGGAAGAGGCTTGTGAGCCTAGCCCAGCAAGGCCAGGTAAAGGGAACCCAGGCTGGCAGAATAGGCTGATTGAGCAGGGGAGGCTCAGTTAAACCCCAGCATAGCAGATGACACCCCAAAGGGCCCAAGCCCCTCAGAAAGACAAAAGAAACAATGGAAAATATAATACAGCTTCATGGTTAACTTACCAGACGCAAATGATAGATGGGGGCTGATTCTCCTCTTGTTTACACCAGTGTATATGAGGAGCAACCTCACTAAAATCAGCAGAATTACACTGGTATAAGTAGGAGGACAACCAGCCTCATAGCTCTGAAGGAATAGTTCCTATTTGTGAAGTGCATTCATACCACTACATAGCCTCAAAACGCAGGTTACAGTGCACATAGATTGGGAATCACTGGTACTGTTAAATCTACTTGCTTAAACTGTAACTTTCTTGAGGAAACGAGAAAGAGGAACCTCAACTAAACCTCCTGTTCCTCCTGATATAATTGATTCATAACATGAGATGTTGCTTAGAGTAGGATTTCCAGGCTCCACCTGCTGGCCAACTGTACTCCCAACTATCATCCAAAGGGAGATCGGCAATGTCTCTTCAGCTTCACCTCCCCACTTCTGCTGAGTAGATCTGGAAGGAAATTGGGCTCTCATGACCCCCATCTGTGTCTCACAACAAAGGAGATGATTTGGCTTGTTGTTTGCACAGGAAATATACTTGTTGTTTAACAGATTATTCCATTTCTACTATGTAATTACTTTCCATGTCAAGAAACACGTTACAAATTACAGATATGTAAATCCTCTTAAATGCATATTTAAATTAAAAATCAGTTATATCCATAATGACTTTAGCATGTGTTTACTAGCAACGCATACTATGTACTGCCCCAAAGCAAATTTTCGTCTACATTTTCAGAAAATGTTTTAGCTGCCACCTGTGAATTTGCATGCCCAGTTTCATGCACACAACCAAATGAGCCTGCAAAATTGGGTGCATGCTGATTTTAGTCACATAAACAGTATTTGTACACAAAAACTTATCAGCTGGGCACTAAGTTTACATATAAACACAAGTTTTGTGCATGCAGAATGGATGTATGCCCAATTCTTTGGCTGCAATCAGTTGCAGGCACATATTTTGGTATACAATTTTGGAATCAGCTGAAAACTTGCTCTAACATAATGCAGAACATCAGCTTCCTGGGAAAAGGCAATAGGTTTAGTAAACACGTTAAAAATAACAAACTATAAAAAATAACTATAACATTTATATAATACCCAAACCTAGTTAGAAGACATCACAATTAATTAATTAATATAACACTTTCTATCTGAGAATCACACAAGAACATAAGAATGGCCATTTTGGGTCAGACCAATGGTCCATTTAGCCCAGAATCCTGTCTTCTGACAGTGGCCAATGCAGATGCTTCAGAGGGAATGAACAGAACATGGCAATCACTGAGTGATCCATTCCCTGTCATCCCATCCCAGCATCTGGCAGTCAGAGGCCTAGGGAAACCCAGAGCCTGGGATTGCATCCCTGACCACATAGGCACTGACTTTTATTTTTCCCCAGGAGTGCCCCACCCTCGCTCGGCCCCGAGGCCCTGCCCCCACTCCACCCCTTCCCCCAAGGCACCACCTTCGCTCTGCCTCTTCCCGCCCACACTCCGGCCCCTGCCCACCGGCCGCTCGCTGGTCTCCACTTTTCCCCAAGCCCCTCTCAAGCTGCCAAACAAACCTTTTCAAATTCAAATATATCTTTTTTGAGATGGTTGACCAGAACTGCACATAATATTCAAGGTGTGGGTGTATCATGGATTTATATAGTGGCATTGTGATATTTATTTATCCCTTTCCTAATTGTTCCTAACATTCTGTTAACTTGTTTGACTGCTGCTGCACATAGAACAGATGTTTTCAGAAAACTATCCACGATGATTCCAAAATCTTTTTCTTGAAGGTTAACAGATAATTTAGACCCCACCATTTTGTATGCATAATTGGGGTTATGTTTTTCAATGTGCATTACTTTGCAGTTATCAGCACTGCATTTCATCTGCCATTCTGTTGCCTAGTCACCCAGTTTTGTGAGATCCCCTTGTATCTTTTCATAGTCTACTTTGGATTTTACTATTTTGAGTAATTTTATACCATCTGCAGTCTTCACTTCACTGTTTACCCCTTCTTCCAGATCATTTATGATAAGTTGAACAGCACTGGTCCCAGTACAGATCTTTGGGGGACCCCACTATTTACCTCTCTCCATTCTGAAAACTGACCATTTATTCCTCCCTTTGTTTCCTGTCTTTTAACCAGTTACTGATCCATGAGAGGACCTTCTCTCTTATACCATGACTACCTACTTTGCTTAAGAGCCTTTGGTGAAGGACTTTGTCAAAGGCTTTCTGAAAGTCCAAGTACACTATATCCACTGGATCACCCTTGTCCACCTGTTCGTTTACTCTGTCAAAGAATCCTAATAGATTGGTGAGGCATGAATTCCTTTTACAAAAATTGTGATTCTTCTCCAACAATCTGTGTTGATTTATATGTCTAATAATTCTGTTCTTTATTATAGTTTCTACAAATTTGCCTCATGCTGAAGTTAGGTTTACCAACCTGTAATTGCCAGAATTGCATCTGGAGCCTTTTTTAGAAAGCAGCATTACATTAGCTATCCTGTAGTCATCTGGTGCAGAGGCTGATTTAAGTGATAGGTTACATACCACCATTAATAGTGCTGCAGTTTCATGTCTGAGTTCCTTCAGAACACTTGGGTGAATACCATCTGGTCCTGGTGACTTATTACCGTTTAAAATTTCAATTTGTTCCAAAACCTCTTCTCTCAACAGCTCAATCTGAGAGGGTTCCTCAGATATATCACCTAAAAAAAAAGATTCTCAGGTGTGGGAATCTCTCTGTACAGTGAAGACCAATGCAAATAATTCATTTAGTTTCTCCACAATGGCCTCGTCTTTGCTGAGTGTTCCTTTAGCACTTCGATCATCCAGTGGCTCCAATCACTGTTTGGCTGTTGTTCTTAAAATGTTTCTTGCTGTTAGTTTTTGTGTCTTTTGCTAGTTGCTCTTCACATTCTTTTTTGGCCTGCCTAATTATATTTTTACACATGACTTGCCAGAGTTTATGCTCCTTTTTATTTTCCTCAGTAGATTTGCTTTGCAAACAAGTTAATGTTGTCTCACAAATCCCTTTTGTGCAGGTGGTTCTACCACCATTTTGCTGTTTCTCTCTCCCTTGTTGTGTGAAAAACGGGCAAACAGTAGGT